GGAAACGTCTTAAACATAAAATATACCAGAATAAATTAAATTTGAAAATTTTGAGCAGCACAAGTTTGTTGAAGAACTTAACAGAAAACTCATTGACTAAGACCGTATTCTCTACTTCTGATTTGAGGAAAAGCATAAAAATTTCCGTCTTCGCCACTGTGTCAATAGAGCTAAAAGTTAGAAAGTAAAAGCTTCTTTATTTTTCTTCTGCAGCAATTTTTCTAGTTCATGCTATAAAGAAGTATTTAGGAAGCAGTCAAAAATTTAACTTCTTATTTTTGCAGTTATAATATTATCTTTACCTTAGCAGAATAAGATAAGAAAGTATTAAACAAATTTTTTAGAACTTAGAAAATGTTAGAACATTTGAAGAAGCAGCTTTATACTGTCGTCGAAAAGTTCATGGAGACTTGTTGTCAATAAAAAGCCACGAGGAGCTAGAGTTTTTTCAAAGTAATTTTATTCATTTGGTAATTAAATATTCAGCTTGTTTTAAACAAAAGTAATTTTTAAAAACACTTTAAAACTTTCATTTACTTTGCATTTTTTGTACCATAATATGACTTCCAAATTCCTACTCAAGCCGCAACAGCTGTTTTTCAGATCTTCTATTTCCGGACAATTTAAAACATCCGGAGCTCTATCATTACATACCATTAGGACTCAAAGGACATCCAGAAGACGTGAAGTACTTCACTGATGGTACAGATGTCAGTTATGTCTCTCATACTTTTCAGCCGTACCACAAAAGTTAGCCAACTTTTAACGGAGCTATGGTTTGTATTGATATTTTCGTATAAATTTCATAACCTACTCTACACTTTTATGTGATTAAGCAAGAGTTGCTACTTACATAAAGTCCGTGAGAATTGTCAGTGTATTTGGTAACGAGTGAAAGCTTTAAAATATATAACAGTTATTTTCGATATCTATTTTTGCTTAGATTTCATACACTTTTTGAATTACAAGTATCATTATTGCTGTTATTTTTTGGCACGCGATATACCTGAGTGGTTACATAATAATGGTACCATGGATGTGGAAGCCGGTAAAAATCTTATAATTATTACATTTTCTTCGCAATAAATTTTTCAAAAACTTTTCTGGTAAAAAGCAGTTTTTAACTTTAAAATTTCTGGTTATTTATATTTTCATATAGCTTTGTTAAATGCTTTTAGGAATAATTTATGTTAGTTCCTGTACACCAATTCTTTTTATGAATTTTATTTGCAAATCGCCACGTCTGAAACCTGCATCAAAGGTAAGAAAATAAACTTAAGATGATTTCAATTAATCTTTGATCATATACATTTTAATATTACAAAACTATATTTTTACTTCTTTTTGACTGGTTTTTGTTAGCAGTATGCAAAAGTTACGCTCTTTTTTATAAACATAATAAGAATAATAAGAATAGCTCTGAAGAAATATAATAACGACCAAAACAAGAAACAGCACAATATATAGTAACGAGAGGAAGAGGGGGAAGGATACTATGGCTGGAGAGCAGATAAGCCTATCTGTAGGAGGAGGCCACGCGCCGACTACGTTATGCAGTTATACCAAAGTTTGGTCTGTTAACGGAGGAAAGCCTCAATAAGTGAAGAATTAGCAAAAATTTTTTGAAGGTACTCGAAAATGACATGAATAAGAAAAAAAACTGAGTTTAAACAAGGTAATTTCCAAGAGTTTTTAAAATTTTAACAAATACATTAGCACACTAAAGGCGTAAAATTCCGTGTTTACTTCTTACGGTAAATTTTTAAGCTGGTAATTCCGACACTATATGCACAACTCTAAAATCAAAGAAACTAGCAAAAAATTTTTTTATTGATTCTTTATAGTCGAATCTCTATTATAATTCGCCGTAACTGTGAATGTAGTGACGCTGTAAATAACATTTAGTTACAACCGTTGCGTGGAAATGCTGACGAAATGTTATATTACGATTTTTTACTGAATAATCTTCTAAAAGTTCGTCGTATCAACGCTATGAATTCTCAGGCATACTTTATAAGTTTTGAACAAGGTTAAAATATGTTATTCTAAGAATAAGTTATTACTTGAACTATAGATATAACCGACACACTCAGTGGTGCGTTTTTGCCAAAAACAGGAAAATTTTAAACAGTGTAGGCTAAAATGAGAAAAGTTTAAAAATAAACAAAATACTTATTGGCCTAAATTTTTGAGAAACAGAGAAAATATC